TATGCTCAAGCTATTTACTGATCTGTCAGGTTTCCGATATGCGTCCCCCCCAATGACAGACTCGTTCCTACGCAATTGGTGGCAAAATGAACCTGGATCCTCACTGACCCGGTTCTGTCTCAGTCTCAGGTGTTTTTAAGCATTTCACTAACTGCTCTGACTGTAGACGTGGGCACATTTAGGCAAGTAGCCTTTTTCCTCGCCACCATTTTGTGACTCAGCACCAGATCGATGCAGCTCTGCCTCACTTGAACTGCATATTTTCTTTACCTAGTTTGGAGAGGGACAGGCCTCAGCGTACCATCATATTCAAATCATTCAAAGTTTTATTTGCACACTGATCAACACCAAAAACGCAGCTACAAATACATTTATTTTTATAAACATCATTAGTAGTAACACAAATAAGAAAGCTTTATTATTTATCTTGTTTATTTGTTCATTCAGCTGCAATAAAAGATTAACTGATAAGATTAAAAAAACAACCAAAAAACATTTGTATTGGGGGCATCAATAAATGTGCAGGAAGCTGTCAAACACTCTTAGTAACCAAGCTACCTTGTAACTTTAAAAACTCTAAATTGTATAAAGTAAGTTTTCCCAACAGAGTAGCTTTCTGGACATCCGTACAGGACAATACACAGACATAAAGAACAACCTTCTCTCTATATAGTCATGAAGCCATCTTGTGCTGTAATGTACTGAGGATTTGTGCAGGATAACCTTCAAATCGTCCTCCTGTCTCAGGTTTCATCCCAGTTTCTGTTATATTTCCCCATCTGTGAATAACTCCATACATTTGAATTGTATTTCTGATGATGCTGTTCCTCCCTCGCTGCTACAGCACAGCTTCTTCTCCACTGCATTTGATCTACACTTTGTTTCTCGCCTCTCCTTTTACAGAGTCTATCTGACTCTGGATATATAAATATGTGAAGTGGGTGGAGGGGCTGCTCTGTGGGGAGATTGATGAAGTAATGGTGTGGCAAAGATTTTGCAACAGAAAGGGAGGAAGAAGTCGCCGGTGGAGATGTTTTGCATCTACTGTGCATCTGTGTGTGTGTGATGGTGGGAGGGGGGTGGAGAGGGTATGACTGATCTCAGCTACTTACATAATTGATGACTTTGAGCTGAAGAGAAGCGGCATCAAGGTCATAGAGCTCACCTAAAAGAGGACAAGGAAACATAGAGAGAGAGAGAGAGAGAGAAAGTGACAAGAGTGAAAAAAAAAACCCGACGGAGGAGCAAGGGCGAAGCGACATCAGGAAAGAGAGGGAATTCAGATCATATATGCGAAGGGACAGAGAGAAATCCAGAGAGAGGTGCACTCAGACAGCGAGGTCGGGGAAGGGTGAAAGGAGCCGGTTAACAGGGGGACTAATAACAAAGACAAGACAAGAGATGGAGAGCTGCCTGGACTGCAGAAGAGAGAGCCGGAAAAGTGAAGCAAAGGCAGAGGGAAGCTGGGGAGAAAAAAGTCAACTCATATTTATTGACAATTACTGGAGAGTAAACAATGTTTATGTATCTGTGCAGGAACAGCAGGAGGTAGTCCACCTCCATTATGCATGAGAATTTAAACAATGTTTTGGAAAAGCATTCTGCTTTCAGACTTTGAATCTAAATCGACAAGAGCCGCCATGCCACTGGGTCCAACTCTAACAGCGCACTCGGTCTCTGGCTGCATGACTGCCGTGTTTCTGTAAGCCGTACAGTATAGCAGGGACAGTAAGTTCTTGTGCTTTGATGAGCGTGTATGTGTGTGAGTGCTGCGAGCGTACCACAGAGCTGCAGAATGTTGCGATCTAGCTCGCAGTAGTCCTGCTCTGAGACATTGAGATGCAGCAGAGCATTGTGGGACTGCAGTGGAGACGGGCTCAGAGGAGGCCTCTGATAGGACGCCTGCACCGCCTGGATGCGAACACATGCCACCGAGGCCTGCAGGGCCATAAAGCAGCAAACACAAACAAAGACAAGCAGCAAAGTCAGCTAAAATAGATATTTAACTTTGAGCTCTCTGTGCTTCTGTTTCATTATGTTTCTTTCCCAGATAAAGACAGTCACTGAGCTACTGCTGCCACTGACTCCACGGGCTTTGTTGTTTGTTTCTGCCTGTAAAAAAAGATACTCCTGAACCAGAACTTCAGTTTTTTCTTTTGCTGTGTCTGCTTTCTGCCCTTTCAAGTTCAAGTCGGCTGCAGCAGATGGCCGAATCTGATTCTGCAGGAAGTTTATTCATGTTGAAGTTTATTCATGGTTCCTATCTACTGTTGCCACATGATTGATCAAGACGAGGCATAGCTGCAAAATCAACCACTTCTTCTAAGTTCAAATTATGCCAACTTAATTGGAATTAATGCCAATTAAGTTGGCATTAATTCCTACGCCAACTTAGGAATTAATGTTTTTTTGCTACATTTAATTTAACATTTATCCTGCACCTTTTAACTGGACAATAGAGAAATCATCCAGAATCAAAATGAAAAAAAAAAAAAAAAAAAAAAATTGGTGGCACAAGTGTGTAAGCCTCTGAAGTAACACGATGTTAAATTAGCAATCTTCTATAGATCAGACCTGTCATAATGCATCCAGAATCTGATGAACTGTAAATAAAGTCCTTTTCTTACAGAGAGGCTTCAACCAGTCAAACAGGTCTCATTTCTAAAAGGTATCAGTCAGAAGAAGGGTAAAAAACATTTAAGGAGGCGGAAATGAAAAACTGTTATTTTAGAAAACAAAAATGACATTATTATTCGATGACAGGACATTTCTCAACTCATGTTAAAAAGACAAATTAAAAACTAGGCTGGTGGGCTGCTAAGAGACGGACAACAACAATGAAGGTGCTGCAGTAAATTCAGGTGAATTCTCCTGGTGTTCTACAAGTGACAACATTCTCCAGTTTTCTGGACTAAAGACTAATGCTGAAAGACAGAAACGTTTTTCCAGGGGGCACAAAGTGTTAATCTGTGATGAAGTACAACTTCTGGGCCACTCTTCCAGAAAGGAAAGGGAATCTGGGGTTGCAATTTCAGACTGATTTACTTTTATTTGTCAATGTGGATGAAATGTGAGCAGCTCTAAATAGCTTTGAATTTCTATCTAAAACATGAAGGTTTTTAGCTGAAAGCTGAAAAAGAAAAGGGATTACGTTTATCAGTATCACTGTGAGTCTAAGCTTACAAACAAATTAACAACAGACTGGCTCCACCTGAAGGAAGTAAGTTTTTTGGTAACACTTTATTTGAAGTAGGTTAAATTATGACACTTTTAATACAAAGTTGACATTATTCAAATGTCTTTGTTATGACAAGTTGACATTAACCAAGGAATCATTATTGATATAAATTTGTTATAAAAGTATTACTGATTGCACTTTAAAAATTAGGTAACTTTATGTTATTAGAGTTAAAGTTTAAACAGTAATGATTTCTTGGTTAATGTCAAGTTGTCATAACAAAGACATTTTGAACAATGTCAACTTTGTAATAAAAGTGTCATAATTTACCGAATTACACTTCATGACAACAGTCATAAATATTCATGAAGGCTTATTCATGTTCATGACAGGTGTTATGTCATGTTTATGACAGTGTCACGACAGTCTTATTCACCCCCCTTCAAATAAAGTGTTACCAGTTTTTTTTTAATGAACCACTGGTAAAAATATAACACTTTGAGAGCTGGCAGGCTATATTCTTTACTTGTTGCACTGTTCTGCAAAACCTACTTTTGTCAAACCTTATTGAGTAAAACACCTCCAGCAACATAGCGCAGCTCATGTTGCCAGGTTTTTTTTTTTTTCTTTCATTTCACGTTTGATCACGAAACACAGAGAAAAGGGGATCTTACGTGTTTTCCCAGCACATTCAGATGCAGTTCGTCTTGATCTGATAGCGGGCCACATCCCACCTGCAGCACACAGAGACATACGCACAACCAGTGAGATCTGAGCAGCACAAGGCATTGGTGCGGGCTGTGATGTCTCAGAATTCATTTTAGGTGTGCATGTTAACTTAAATCAGCTCCCAACAATCTGCTTTTCCACAAAGAAGAGGCTGAATCTGCAGCATTTGATTTTTTCTTTTTTTTTTCCCCTCACCAGTAAGACGGCTAGGACCTTGGTGTGATCCTGATCCAAGATGGGAACTACAAGAGCTGAAAGACAATGAGGTAGAAATAAAATAAAGCTTAAAATAACTGGATTAAATAAATTTTCATGACTGTAGATGTTAATCATATTTGTTCTTTTTCTGTGTTTTATGCTAAAGACGAACAAAGAAAACAGGAAATAGAAAAAAACCATATAAAGCACACAGCTGATGTCCTTGAGTGAGACTGCTTATTCCTTTCATTTGAGCTGCGACAATGAGATGCCGCTTGTTGCAAGCACACAAACTCTCTTTCCTGCATAATTATTACACGTTCATTGGTATGCATTTATTCCCGCAGCACAAAGCGACTTTGCATATGTATTTTTTCTTTGTCCACACATTCCTCAGGTTGTTCTCCGAATTCTTTCATTTGGCGAGCAGAAAAGAGTCTGTTCACACTCATCTCACTGTTATTTTTTTCCCCTCATCGCAACCTTTTATTGCTTCTGTTAGGGTCCTTTGTATAATTTTGTTGCTCACCCAGCTGCATACCTCTCTCAGTGTAATTATCTTCTCTTGTTAACTACTTCTCTCTCCATCTCCTCCCTTTTGTTGTTTTTATATTTCCACTCTCTCGGCTCGCAGAGAAGGACCCGTAATTACACATTTTCTTCCCTGCCTGGACCCTACATAAAACATTCAGCCGAACCTCTCCTGTGTGCCGGTAACGGTGCAGCGAGGAAGAGCCTGTATTTCTCTGGCAGTTCAGACGGAGGGAAACCGGCACACTCGCATCGGTTCTGCTGCTCCACAGCACTCCTACGACAGACACAGAAAGGGTCTGAGTCAAGTTGCGGCAATGCAATAACATGCATGAAATTGGTCTAAATTAATTTTGTTTTGTCAGACACAGCAGAGACAAAAAAAAACCCCTCAAGAAGAGGTCTCCCTGGAAGAAATTTATTACAGATGGAAAAACAATCACCAGCGTTAATAAAACAGATGTGTTTTGTTAATTCACACTCGTCAAAACACCGGTGACCAGAGCCATTATCCGTTGTGAGAGGATATTGTGATATTGTATGTTTTCATGGGGAGAGCAGGGGTGATGTGCAACCAGGTGCAACAAATTCAGAACATGAGACGAGCATTTTAAATTTCTCGGATGCACAAAACAAACTCATTCAGAATTGGAGAAAAAGCATAAGAAATCTAAATAGCATCACTGAAGCACACACAGGTAAATCCAACATGTATGTGCAGCACATAATAATCAGCTAAGCCCTCTGACAGGATCACACATACACACACAAGGCAGCAGTCACTCCATTACATGCCCGTAGAGTCTGAACCTGCCCGCACCCCAAACCACTGCAGGAAATCTCAGCATGGTGCATTGATTTCAAAGTGTCCATTTATTTCAGCTCACTGAGGAACAGTGCACTCCAATCAGAAAATATTCTATTGTGGCAAATACATTTGACCTTTCTGTAACATATTTGTTCAAAGCAGCTCTGCAGAACAGCCCTGGAGCCGATGCAAACCGGCCCAGCAAAGTGTAAAAAACAACCAGCAGCACTGAGAAGAATGGAGTTACTAAGCATAGTAGTGCTTTTACATAAAAGTTGGGTGTTTTCTATGAGTTTGGGGATTTAAACCTGGTGCACATTTTAAGTGTAGATGACGGGAGAGACTGAATAAAATAATGGCATGTGACTTATGAAGAACATGTATTGAAGAGGAAGAAAAGCTCTGGTTATGAATTAAAACAGCATTCATCTTTACATCTATCCTGACTAGTTTTCCAGTTTCTGCAGCTGAAAAACATCCCCACAGCACAATGCTGCCACCATCATTTTTCAATAGTCTGGATACTATTGAAAACATGCGTGGTGCCCAATATGAAGATTGCTGCACTGATGGTTGTTGTTCTGAAAGGTTCTCCTCTATTAGTCACTGTGTATCAGGTTTTCTTTTTGGTGATGTGCTGAACTGGAGGAGAGCTGCTTTCTTTCAAACCTAAGTCTAAGTTAAATGCATTAAATGCAGAAAAAGGCTAATTTGACAGAGATCTGTAGACTTTTTCCATCCGCCGCATTAAAAAAAATAAAAAGCTTACTTTGACTGTGGAACTTCGGTTTACTTGCACATGTCAAAAAAAGTTTCAAAGAAAAAACAATCTCTGGAGTTCTTTCAGCTGAAAATGTTTGTGCATTAAGTGTGTGTGCCTGTGTGTGTGTGTGTGTGTGTGTGTGTGTGTGTGTGTGTGTGTCAAGGTCTGGTCTATTAGAAAGTGGTTTCGAATCAGGCTCACACCAGACGGCCTTCCACCTATCAGATGGGTTCTCTCAGTGTAGGTAGATGGTAGATGGGGGTGTGTATTGCCAAGGTCTTGATAACAGGCTTATGTAAGCAAGTGAATTTAAAAAGAGAAAAGTTAAAAGGGTCTTGTAGCCCTTCGAATATCAGCAATCCGTCAATCCATGCAACGATGACAGATGAGTGTTGGCGAGGATGTGCATGTGTGACACTGTAAAGTTGAAGCCTGAGCTTCTGTCTTTGCATGTTTGCATGGGATCCCATGTCAGTGTGCCAGTAAGGCGTTAGAAGCTGGCCTCTTGTTTGACAAACAGACAGATTCATCAATAATGTAGTGCTGGTTTTTGCCAGCCCCTGGGCAGCAGTCACAGCAGCATATGTGCAAAGCTTCAGAGAGAGCACTTAGGAGAGAAGAGGATCGCCACGTCTCGCTAAGGGACAGAGGCGTACAGCTATCTGGGCGATTAGGTCTGCGTCGCTTCCACAGGGAGAGGGACTGAAGGTGAAAGAGAGGCGGCGGAGAGACCAGGCCACATGCGGCTCAGCGCTTTGAAAGAGAAAAACATGGCAAGCTGTGCGAGTCGGGCAGAAAGCTGGAATGGGCCAGTAGATCACAAAAGAGGATTGGGGTGTCAGAGAGACAAAGATGTTCGACGAGATGAAAAAAAAAAAAAAAGAAGAGATGAAATAAAGAGAAACAGCAAGAGACGGTAACAATGAGACACCAGAGGCAGAGAATATCCTTGTGCTTCCAGACGATGGGATCTTTCTTGGTGACATCTCCATCTGTGTGCTGATGATTGCTGATTTCATTCAAGTGGCACCTGCTTTTCAGGTAGACAAAACAGCGTTGTCGCTTCCGCCCTCCTCGGCGTTTGTTTTGTCGCCTCTCTCGGCGTCACCGCCCAGGACGGCGGCGCGACAGCAAATCAGCCCCCAGCACTGAAAAACATCTGCAGCTCGGCGGGCACAGACACAAACGGTACACACCTGATCTTCCCCTCCTGTGGCACTTCGTACGGCGGGTCGTCACACAGCAGCCTGGAGTCTCCCTCCAGCACGAAGACGCACACGCACTCCTGGGATACAAAAATCAAACACGGGGACACACATGCACCCTCGTTTGAAACATTAATCAGATTGTAATTGACATAATGAGCGACGAGCCTCATGCATTTGCAGAAGGGTTTTGGCCCATATGCTCCCCGCAGCGATGTCGAGACAGACACAACAGGCTCCACCATTCCGAATAGTAACGTGAGGCTTTTCTTTTTTCCCAGGTAATAAATTGAGAAAATTTCAATTGTGTTCATTTGCAAACGTAAATTATGTATGTGCAGACTTGGGAGAGGAAGAGAGAGCAAATACCGTGCTGGGGAGCAGCTCCTGAACGCTGTCTCGCAGGGCCACTCGGAGCGAGCGTACATCAACAACTGCTGCCAGCCGCAGCAAGGCATCCTGGAGAGGAAGACAAACAAATTCCCTCAAGTGTGCTTGGCTGTTTGTTTATGACAAAAAGAAAAAAAAAGAAGAAGAAGAAGAAGAAGCAGGGACCTTTGGCTGCCATTTTGTGTTTTCTTTGTAGGTACAAGGTTTACACAGTCAGAACTATTTATTCGTAATGACTTCGCAAGGCTTCAAAGACCTTCTAAGTCATTTTTCTAAATGCATCCTGCTCTGTAGTTGGCAACACAAGTGTCGCACTTGGAACATAAAGTAAGCTCAGAGCGCAGAATTAGTTTTGCTCTTCACCGCACTCGGTGCTTTGTTTCGATTTGGATCTGTGAAAACAAAGCACTTGAAAATTCATTTGCAGAGTTTGGTAGGTAGCTGACTCACGGAGTTAAAGTGCACAGGAAGTAATGGGCGGCTCTCACAGAAGCACTTAACTTGCACCTGAGTGTATGAAAATATGTTGATCCTAATTAGAGTGGCTGAGCTTAGGTTTTCACTGATTAAGCTAATTTCCACACCAAAAACCTAATACCTTCACAAATCCTAAGGTCAACATGTGTCAAAATAAATACAATCTGACAATTGGAGGTCAAAGAAACTAAGGGAACTGAATTTCACTGAACTGGACACTTTGGACATTAATCAGGCGAACCATTAGGACCACTGACAGGTTAACTAACTTACACGTGGTTATTTTGTAACCTGCAACTTGTAGATGCATCCCTGCTTCAACACATCAGAGTCAAATGGCTGAAGTCTCACATCAGTCATTCAGCTCTGCAAAGGCCTTTGTCATTAATTTCACTCATTTGCATTGAAGATAGGAAGCAGAAAAACTTTGCAGGATATAATATCTCTAAAATAACAGCTCTAATGGAGCCTATGTGCCTATGCTCATCACCATTTATGGAGAGAATTATAATGTTATGGCTTGAGGGTTAAGAAAGTCTTTCAAGATTTAAACTTTTGAATACGTTTGACCTTTTGCCCCTTTCCTTGAATAAACAAAAGTCAGTATGGACAAAGTAAAAAACTTTGCAGCAGACACCTAATTAATTGTTCCCTGTTTGTTCCAAGCCAATATAACGTTTCCCCTAACTGCATTTTTATTACTTAGGGTAATACAACATTGGTTACAAGAATGAAACCATACAGCCACCTCATAATCTCTTACACTGCATTGCCTGAGACTTGCACATACTCTATAATATATTCAGCTAATAAAATTACTCTGGGAGGGAAACTTAGGGGTGTGTTTGGTTCGGTGGCGTTCAACCTCTATTTGCACAAAACAGCATCCTTTAAATGCTCAGCCACCTGCAGATTTGCCATGTGGTTCTGGCTTTTGATTTGAGTGATACGGCAAGAAGCAAATAAAAGAGTATCTCTTAGTCGTGTTCGTAAAAAGTTTTCTATGGCTTATTTGTCTGTGTAATGTAACCATAGAAATCATATTGTGCAACATATATGGGCAATGATTTCAAAGCTGGCTTTGCAACTTTTGATTCAGTACTAAATTAAAGGTTTATTTCAGTGTCAACTGACCTCAGTCGTAGCTGTCTATCCATTATGGACGAAAGCACCATAGAATATATAGAGGCATATAAATGGAGGCACATTTCCAGGATGCCACTGAATCAAGAACAGCCACTGATGCTCTGTGTGAAATTTCATCTTGTCAGCAAATGCAAAAACATCTTCACATCTTCCCCCCTCCCCTTGTTTATTCTTTACCCGCAGTTTAGATTTGCAACAAAAATCATTGCCCATTGACATCTGAAGCCTGTGACTTACAGCTCTTTATAGTTTCTGACACAAACAGGAACCTCTGGAGCTGCTGCTATGCTAATTTGCAGTCTTTGCTTGCCAGCTCGGTGCACAAAAGCCAGACTGTTTATACCTGCTCTGACTGAGCAGACTTAAGAGAAATGTATGAAGAATAAAGAAATGAGAGCATAAAAGAGTAGCTCAAGCCTTGGCCACTTTCTTGACTGTGCACACTAATCTGCTGGCCAGGGGGAAAGACTTCCAGAGTCAATTTCAATGTCAAAAATATTTAAAGGATGGGTGATCCAACGGCTTTTTAACTATCTTATGAATATGTCAATTTAGCGATGCCGTTGGCTTAGTAGCTGTTTAACCATAGAGAGTAGTTTGCTTTTCCCTAAAACTCTGTTCTTGTCACTGCAGGAAAAACAAATCTAGGTTATACAGCCCTGTCTAAATTTATTGACACTCCTAATAGAGATTTGAAAGAACTCAGAGCATGATAAAAAGATACATTTTTATCTTTTACTCTGTCAAATAATTTTGACAGAGTAAAAATTATTTGAAAGCTTTTTATGCACTATTCTGATGGAAGCTATGAGCAAATTTACAATGGACAGCTATTTAATTGTAATAGTTACTTTGCAAATGAAGATCAGCAAACATTTGCCTGATTTCAGTGGCATGTTCTAGTGTCTTATTTGAAGAGTGACTTTTCTTCCAGGAAAACAGAAAGTTATGTATCCAAGTTTCGAGCCATATAAAATTACACAATTGTGGCACCAGCAAATTAGTACAAAATACAGGCTGATTTTTAAATTGAATGAACAAAAGCACTTGAATGTCTTAGATGTTTCATGTTTTCAGTGTGAAACACTACTGCTAAAAAAAAGTTTAGACTATTCCATGGATTTTTTTTTTCTTCAAATCTCATTATCAGATGTTTCAATAAATGTGGAGGCCTGACAGAAAAAATATCTGCTACATGCAGAACCACGTAAACATCTCCACTCTATGAAATAGAAAAGACATGAGCCTTGCAAATGTGCTTCCCTTATGGCATTTCACAGCATACACTTTTTATGGCCTGTGTGGTCTACTTAAATCCCAACCTGTTAGTGTTCTCATAAAGCATTATGATTTCTTGTTACCACTGTCTGAAGAAACATCTCAGTGGGACCTCAACGTCTGATCAAAGCACAGGAAAAACAACGAGAGGAAAAATGAAGACTTTAACGTCCTGCAGCACTGAAAACTGTGTTGTGAATCTAAATTGAAAAGAAAAAGCTATTCGGCTGCCTTAACTGTGAATACCTCAAAGTGTTCGCGCGCCTGCTTCCAGGCTTCATGCTTTTAATGAGGGTGTCCATCTGTCACCTTTGTTTTTCGTAATTTTCCTCCCTTTTTTTTTAGTGTCTCTGCTGTTTCTCCTCCATCTGTGTTCAGTCTTATTTTTCTTTGGACTGAGGGTAAAATGTGGAAGAGAAGTTGGGTGGTGAAGAGTGGGGGTGGGGGGGGTAAATATGGGACTTCTTAGATAGCAGAGATGGTTTTGAAAATGTCAAATGTGACGAAGGGAGAAAAAAAATGGAGAAAACTGGAGAGCGTTGTCATGGCTGTGCACTCGATGCTGGTCATTACATATGATTAGATATGATTAAATGCGATTAGCTTTGATCACTCAATCAGCACGTTGTAATGAAGTTGGAGCCATGCCAGCCCATGTGTGAGCATCCGTATGAGTGGGAGGACGCCTGACAGAACCAAGGTATGTGTGAGTGAGCGAGTGTGCTGCATTTTAAGTTACGGATCTCAAGATGCTTAGACAAATTCCTGTAAATATTGTTGGACTGTTGGGAGATTATGCCAGCAGAACACATAAGTCCTCCCTGTTCTGCAGCTCAGTCCTCACAGGGAACAGAGGATGTAACTCGCCATCCTTTGTGCGTCACTGTTTGTGGATGTATGTTGCTCGCAATAAGATGTGTGCCTCTGTAAATGTCAAACGCCGTCCTATGACCTTTCCCAATAATTTCTTGCCATGTACCTCAAACCATCTGTTACATTAATTTACCTGCCTCTCCATCCCTCACTGCACATCCTCTCTCCCACACACACACACACACACACACACACACACACACACACACACACACACACACACAATCAAGCACCAAACATGACCGTTTATTTCTTTGTCTCTATTCCCTAATATCTACGCATTTAACATTTTGCTTAAATTAAAAGGAAAATTTTAAGGCAAAAAAGATAATACTGAATTTCGTGTATTTTTAAATATTTTGTCATGTTATAGCTACAAGCCTCAATTTATTTTATGTGATAGACAAACACAAAGCAGTGCACAGTTGTTAAATGAAAAGAAATCGATGAATGCTTTTTAAATGTTTGTTTTTTTCTTTTAGTAAAACTGTGTGGTGTGAATTTGTAGTCAGACCCTCTGACTTAATACTGTGTCCAAAAACAACAAGGCAAAAACAGCAAGGCTCTACCCGATTGGACGGAGAGTATATGTGATCATCAATTTTCTTATTCTAGAACACAAGGTCATGCTGGAACCTGAATCAGGTTTCAGGTTTTCTTCCAGACTTGCACTATATTTAGCTCAGTTTTGAAAAGCACGATGCTGCCACTGCTGTGAAGCGGGTGTGCTTAGAGTAAGGTGCTGTGAGGGTTTTTTATTGTGTACAACAGTTTTTATGTAGGCTAAAAAGTTAATCTAACCAAAACATCTTCTTCCACTTGTTTGCACAACCCCCAACATAGTTTACGGCAAACTCCAAATGAGATGCGTCTCTTTTTTTCCCCTGCCACTTTTCTGTAAAATCCTGATTTGTGGATTTGTAAAATAATTATGCTGTAAACAAACATCTCTGTGGCTCCTCCAGAGTTACCATGGACCTACTGGATGATTCTCTGATTTATGTTCTTCTTCTCCTCCTGTCAGTTCTGGTAAAAGTCCATGTTTTGGTCAGTGGTGGGAAGTAACGAAGTACAAGTACTTCGTTACTGTACTTAAGTACAGT